GGAAGCACAGGCAGATACTTTCATGTGGTGGAGCCTACGGCTACTCCTTGAGCAGGGAGGCGTGCAGGCAAATGACGGCCAGACTGTGGCCACCAGCAATGGAAGTTCTGGCACTAGAAGGCCCTCTTGCTTAGGTCTAAGGGCAGAACTAATAAATATCTTACTTTTTCTAGGACCCTATTTCTCCTGAATTAGCCAACGATCACAGTGCAAGGGCACCTAGGGTTTAGCAACTCTGCTTAAAGACCAATCTTTGAAGTCTACCAGAAGTAGGCCATCTGTGAGACCTTGAAGAACAGCTTATCCTTTAACTTTAGAATACTTGGCTTCTTTAACCCTAGGTACTAGCCAAGAGTATATATGCTTTTGCTTATATTCATACCAAATTATTTTACTTAATTAGTTGGTTTTCCACTACCGATAAGGACATGTCCTATAACTCCAAATGATACACACTTAAGAAAATTATTGATTACTTAATATCATAAAGTATTCAGTCTCTAATCCAATGTGACCAATTATCTTAAAACTGCATTTAAAAAAATCTTTTTATTGGGGGCTCATACAACTCTTTCATAATCCATACATATATTCATTGTGTCAAGCACATCTGTACATTTGTTGCCTTCATCATTCCCAAAACATTTTCCTTCTACTTGAGCCCTTAGTATCAGCTCTTCATTTTACCCCTCCCTTCCCCATGCTCCCTTCCTCACCCTTGATAATTCATAAATTATTGTTATTTTGTCATGTCTTACACTGTCCGATGGCTCCCTTCACCTACTTTTCTGTTGTCTATCCCCCAGGGAGGGGGTTATATGTAGATCCCCAAATACCTTTTTATAGTAGTATTCTTCCGTCGTAATAGACTCATATACATTAATCATATGAGTAAGAACATTGAACCCCACAGAAGGGAAATGCCTTATTCAGGTGGTAGAGGCAGAATCAGAACTCATTACTAACTCTTTCGTCCAGTGCAGTTTGATTCTGGTCAAACAAAGGGGATGAAATGACCCACTTTTGAGGGATTAGAGAAATGGATAGAAATAGAAATAATGAC